GTGGCCAAAGGCCCTGGGTTCTAATCCTGACTGAGACAGAAGCCAGTCCAGTGATTTGGTCAAATCCCTTCAATACCTTAACTCTAATATTCCCTTCTGAAAAATAAAGCCAGAAAGATGAAAGATGAACTAGAGGACCTTGAAGGGCGTTTTCCGCTCTCATATGGAATAGAATTCTGTTGTAGACATTTTGTGAGCACTTATGTTTACAGTCCACATTTTCCTAGCAAATACCTTTCATGGATGGAAGTTTCTTGGAGTCCTTAGCAACATCATCATTATTCTAAATGAACTCAGTCTGAGTTCATGACAAGTATAATGTATTTACATATTAACTAATTTGTCCATCCATCCATCCATTCATCAAATGAGTTGCCTACTCTTCATCAGGTACTATACTCTTCATTGAGATAAGGATGATTAAGAAAATGTTTCTGCAATCAAGAAGTTCTAGTTTAGTGAGGGAAAGGGCAAATAAAAATCATTTCCCTGGCATTAGGCATTACTATTGTAAAATATGTGCTCTCACTTATTTACCTTTTGTTTACGGAATGCCTGCTGTGTACCAGGCATTGCAGCAGATGCTGGGATGAGATAGTGAACCAGGTAGGTGTAACACTTTCTGTAAAGGATCTTCCATTGTAGTGAAAGGGGTTCACAGTCAGCATGCTGTCCCAGGAGAGCTGTTCCTTGACAGCCTGGCTGCCCTGGGGGTGCAGAGACAGAGCTAGAGAAAGGAGTCACCAAGGAAAGGGGTTAATAACCCTCATCTCTGACTGTTAGAGCATCTTAGAGCAGGAAATGCTTGGTTGCAAATAGTGGAGAATTAGCTGAGTCATAAAAAATAGGAAATGTGAGTCAATAAAGCCAGTAGCTGTGGCATTGATGGAGATCTTGCCAGAGATACCCAGCCCACTGCTAAGAATGATTTCAGCTGTGCCTAAAACTGTGTCCAGAGAACAGAAGTTAGGGATTCAGAAAGACAATACAAAAAACTGATTCTTGGTGTGCTCAGAAATGAAGGACATCTAATATAAACTTTTGGTTTGCAGCTGAGAAAACTAAGGCCCATAGAGAAGGAAATTACTTGTGTCCCTAGAGTTAATATGTGAACATACACCAAAACCCTGGGGCCATCTTGGAATTAAAGGAAAAGGGGTGGAAACCAATTTATTAACCATGAACTCATTGTCTACCAGAGCTGTGAGATATACTTTTCACTATTATAATTTCTTCTTCCATCAGTCCTGTGACCTAGAGACATTACTATCACTTCCATTCTAGATATGAGAAAACGGAGACCAAAGAGGTGAAGCAGCTTCCCCAAGGCCACACAACTTCCAAGAGAGAATGTGAAGACTGAACAGCAGTCTGTCACCTGTCCCCAGCACTTGCGGGCTTTCCCTTCTGCCTATTTCCTGTTCTCCAGGCAGCCTTATGGGGATTCCTGGGATGGATACTTCTCATTTAAAAAATACAAATTTGTTGAATATTGAATGACAGTAATTAATGATCCATTCCTAGTCAAGAAAAAGTTGTTTAGTGAGCACACATAGGAAATGAGGAAAATAAAAATGTAGCAGGACCTTTTTCCAAACAGACTTTTTATTGTCGCCAATGTTCCCAAAAATGAGCTGTGCCTTTACCTTGCAGAGCCACTGATAGGAGAGAGACGAACCTCAGCCTCTGCCCTTTCTATGACAAAGGAGCATCCTCCCTGCCACTGGAGCCTGGCTTCCTGTTCTGTTGCCCACAGTAACCATTTTACCTCTCCCATTATGAATCATGAGGTCTGCGGCTTTTGGCAGATCATAAATCAGTCCTGGGAGTCTCGAGGACAAATCCCAGGACTTTTAATCTTTAATATTAGACGTGTTTAAGGTGGTGAATATTTCATGAAGGGGCGGTCGCATTTTAACACATCGTTAGTGACTCCCACCCCACCCTGCTTGGTAAATTACTCCCATCCAAATTCAAGGCCCTCAGCCCTTTCCCTCCACTTCCCTTAGCTCAGGAGTGGTCTGTCCAGTGGGTTGCACCAACCTACAGCACTCCCACCTTTAGAAGACCTCAGGTTTTGGGGTGGAGGCAGGGTTATAGAGAATATTCTAGCCTGGGGCCAGCCCCCTCGCAGTTCACCAAGTACCCAGAGAAGAGGAACCACAGATTACTCCAGTCTGTCGCTCCTTCTGTCTTTCAACAATCTTGTCATGAATACTTCAAAGACTCTCTCTGACCCCTTCTTCACTCCATATTCTGTTCGACTGCCATTTCAGTTCAGCTACTATTTATGAACCAGGCTATTTGCCAAATACTTTCTAGGTGCTGAGGGTACAAAGATTAAACAGCACTGCAATACATAAACAAGCGAGTTTTTTTTTTATTATTTTAACACTAGAATGCCTTATATAAGATCCACTGCATTACATTTCTAGTTCATCAGTGAAAAAAGGAAGGTTTTTTTTTTGATGAACACAACATTTTGAAATTAGATCTGATGTAGTTTTCCCATGTACATATATGAAAACAACATAATGAATCCCACCACCATGTACCTCCGTAAGAATGGGACTGTAACGAGAATAAGATGTATTCACGCTTGTGTGATTATATCAAAATGAATTCTGCTGTTATGTATAACTACAAAGAACCAACAAAAGAAACGAGGAGCTATTGGCAATAGTCGTAAAACCTGCATTACCCAGTATCTTGTTTGTTACTCGTTTCAGATGTACAAGGTTGAGAGAATCCTGAAACACAAGCTGTGTCATTGCAAGTAACATGAGCTTGTTAGCACCTGATTCAGTCTCCACATCCTCGTCAATGAAACAAAGATGATGGGAGACTTTTTTTTTTCCTGAGACCTGCATAAAATAAGTTTACCCGACCAGATGAATTAACATGATGATGCTTTCTATTGTCATTAATTTTGGTACGCAGCAGCAGAGTGTTTATATGTGTTGTTTTTTTTTTAATTATAAAGAGAAAAAGAAACTCTAGGGAAAATGAAAACTCAAAAGTCCATAAATACCCCATATTCAACAGTATGTTTCCATGGACATAATTTGAAAATTCTTGGGTCGGGCCATCAGAATCACTGCAGGATGGAAGGGTTGTGAGTTCATTTGTGTATGTGTGTGTACATGTGTGTATTTGTCCATGTGTGAATTGTATGTGTGTGTAATCACCAAGGAAAGGAAGTAAGGCAGTTTGACAGCAATAGTAAAAATTTACCAGAGCCATGACAATTAATTACTCACTCACCTTACATTGTTGAGTACCAACTCTGCTCTACACAGTAGGCTGAGCCAGCCATCACAGTTCCTACCAGCACTTCCCAGGATGAGTTCCACAGAATGTTGATCCTATGAGTTGTTCCACCAGCAAGCCTCTCAAAGTAAAAAGAGGTGGGGAAAACTGTATGCATCACCCTCATGAAGAATCATGTTCCACCGGCTCCAGGGAAGGGTATAATATTTGCCAAAGTTATTTATTTATTTTTTTTAAAGAATCTATTTTTTGGTAAAGAATCTGTGAACATTCCACAAATATACGACAGGGTAGGGGGGACAATAAGTAAATTATTAAAAAAAAAAGATTTCCCTCAACTTGAGAAGTACACAGTGGAGCAGAAATTATTAACAGAGGACAGGACAGAGAGCTTCAGAAAACTCTTTTAGTATTCCAAACTGTAAAAATATACTAGGAAATGGGATGTGCACTAGCCAACTGAAATGAACTTGGCCAACAGGAGAATATGTTTCAGTGTGCAACACCAGCAAGCATTCATGCCACCAGAGACAGACATGGTCTGGGTTGGGAAGTGTGAATGGGTAGATGGAATGTAAGGAAAAAAAGAGATTGAATGAGAGGAGAAAGAGGACAAGAGAGGAGATGGGAGGGGAGGCTAGGAAAATTGTGTGACTCAGTTTTTTTTCACTGTGACAAAATACCTGAGGAAAACAATTTAAAGAAGTTAAAATTTATTTTGGCTTCTGGTTTCAAATGTTTCAGTTAATGGTCAGCTGGCTCTATTTTGTTCTGGACCTGTTATGAGGGAGTACATGGTAGAAAGGCATGGTGGAGTAAGCTTCTCACCTCTTGGCAGGGAAGAAGGAGAAAGGGAAATGGGCCAAGGACAAGATAACTCCCCAAGGGCATGCCTCAAAGGACCCACTCCATTCAACTAGTCCCCAAGTCCTCCCATTTGCACCACCACTCCATAGTCCAGTAAAATTATGGATCTGTCAATAGTTTGATCCAATGATGCTGGATCATTTATGAACCAGTCAGCTCTGAAGGCTCTACCTCTGAACACTGTTGCAATGAGGGCCAAGCCTTCAACATTTGAGCCTCTAGGGGATATTTTCAGATCCAAATGATACAGAAACAAGCTAAAATTTTTAAAATAAAACACCAAGACAAAATACATAAGACCAGGAGACCACAGGCAAATAATTGATTTTTTTTTTCCTAAAGAGGAAGCTGACAGTTTCTTGAAGGAGGAGGTGGTGTGTGACTCTGGGCTTATGGATGATCAAGTCTTGCTCATTCGGGTGGAGAGAATTCAATTTTTGTTTACATACTTAAATAAATATATATTTTAAATAGATACGTATTATCATAATTTAATTATTTGGAAACTGACCCTTCCGTTTGTAGTGCCCTGGTCACTGGTCACTTCCTGTTTCCCTCATCAAGTTGGGAGGGCCTTGAGCTACCAGGTTGCACCTTTGGTCCCTGTGTCTCCAGTGCTAAGCTGAGAACTTGGCAGCATGGGTGATGGTCTTATTGAATGGATAAATGAGTGAGTGAACAAATGAATGCACAAATTGATACATTTTTCATGAACCATGGTGATCCATGATCCAAAACAACCCTTTCTTTATGGGTTTTTCTGAAACTATCAGTTTACTTTATTTTCCAGGAAAGCAAGGAACCAGGGTAAAGCCTATTTTGAGAGGCAGCATTTCTCACGATTCCTTTCTGTTTGCTTCCAGGAGAGTGCAGCTGTCATGAAGGCTATGCCCCCGACCCTGTTCACCGACACCTCTGTGTGCGCAGTGACTGGGGACAGAGTGAAGGGTGAGTGGCACAGGACATTGAGAATAGGGCAGTGGTAGACCTGTCCCTACCTCCTCTGTTGTGTTACTGGGTGCCCAAAACCTCCCTAAGGAAGAATACTTTCTCTATTAGAGATGTCCTCCCGAAAACCCCAGTGGGAAGCAAATCCTACTTTCCCACTGAATCACATTTTAGAATTAAAGGTACATGATTGATGAATCTTCTAGAGCACAAAGGCTGGCATTTAAATGACCCCTCTAAATAAGAAGTGATCAATGAAAGCTTTCTTACATGGACTGAAGAGGAATCGGGTTTCCTCACATGCACTCAAATATGGGCAAGTGAGAGCTGGGGATATAGCTCAGTTGGTAGAGTGCTTGCCTTGCATGCTCAAGGCTCTGGGTTCAATCCCTAGCATAACACACTTACAAAAAAAAATCAAATATGGGCAAATGAATTTTTACATAAGTGCCGAGTCCTACAGTAAAATGGAGACACTCCTTAGTAATATAGAGGCTTTGTCCAATAATTACCTCTGTGGAATTTGAGCACTTGTCCAGATATGAATTCTGCTTGCTACTGACTAATGTTATCTCCGCTGTTTTTTCTTTCCCCTGGTTTCCACAGACCTTGGCCTTATACGACACTTGAGAGGGGCTATGATCTGGTGACAGGGGAGCAAGCCCCTGAAAAGATTCTCAGGTGAGTTGACAATCTTATTGGGGTGTTATAATGGTGAGGAATACAGAAAGGTCTCTTAAGAAGTATAGTCATGCATCCTTGGACTATCGATCCTGGACACCTCTGAGCTGCCCTGAGTAAGGGAGAACTCTTGCTAACACTAATGCACCTTCACAGTCCAGGTCGCTATGGGAACCTAATTCCCATTTGTCTGTCATCTAGATTTATAGATTTCAGGTACCTGAACTGGAGGAGATATTGCTGATTATCTATTCCAGTGTTTTAAAAAATGTTCTATTAGCCATAGAATCTCATATGAAACAAAAATCTCATATAAAACTTTAATATTTAAGCAGATAAAGACATAGGGAAAATTAAATGGAAGTACTGGGACTCACACATTGGTTTGAAATGATTCTGAATCCATGCTCTTGGCCCGTAGGCCAATCTGCTCCTGATGACTTGGCAGTCACTTGTGAAAATCCTACTGGGTGTAGAGGCTGTGGGGAAACCAGAGCCGAAAGAGTCCCTGTCTTCAGAGTTGACTGTTTACCCAGGAAAAGAAAACTAGAAATGAAAAGCAATGCATGAGCGAACTGATAAACTGATTTAAGAAATGACCATTCAAGTTTGTGCCTTCAGGAATATAAGGGTCCAAGTTGGGTGGAGGAAGGAGAAAATGCCCTAGAAGGGATAGGAAGAGGGGCCCCTGTTTTCTTTTTGCTCTCTGCTTCCCAGGGAGTTCCCAATGGAAACTCTTACATTACAGGTCTACTTTCAGCTTGGGCCAAGGCCTCTGGCTTCCTGTGAGCAAAAGCTTTGTGGTTCCACCCGTGGAGCTGTCCATCAATCCCCTGGCCAGTTGCAAGACAGATGTGCTCGTCACTGAAGACCCTGCAGATGTCAGGTAGGGAAGTCGTCTCCAGAACTCTGTACCAAAGACTTCTTGGAGCCCTGGATGTTCCTCAGTTTCAGGATCACAGGACCTCCTGTGTAGGAGTGACCTGTGACTGTGATGGAGTCAGCTGATGGTGGATGTGAAGAATACTGTCAACTACACCATGCTCCTAAACTCCTAAAAGCACCCTCCACTGCTGGGCCTCAGTGCCACATATTGTAACATTATGGCTCTCATTTTGGGATTTTATAAAATATAAGCAAGGCTAACATTATCTCCCTCTCTTTGGGATTTTTAATGAGCTTATCATGTAAAAAGTTATTACTTGCCAGTGTTTTGGAGAGTCATGAAGGCATCAGTTTGGAGAATGGGATGCTTTCTACTGTGATTCTGGTACTGAGGATGGACTTTGGGCTAATCTAAGTGTCCAGATGTCAAATCTCTTTGTTCTTATGAAAGGATGGTGGTTACATCCCTCCTTATATGTCTTGTACCTTGTAGAAAACTTCATTATAGACTTACTCTACTGTATTCTAATTACTTGTTTGCACATCATTCTGTCCCATTATGTGATGCACTTCTCAAGGTTAAAGAAAATAACTTATTTAGCTTTTTAATCTCTGGTTCCTAGTACAAATTGGACAACTAATAAATGCTTATTGATTTAATTAACTCAATGGTCTCAGGACTGATCCTACCACTATTCTGGAGCTCTCTATTAGAGATTTTTTTTCTTCTTCTTCCAATTTGGTTAAAGGAAACCTTCCAGAAATTTTGATGTTACAAATAATGGATTCTAGTTTTTCTTCTACATCTGCCTTTTACACAGGCTTGTAAAAGTCAACATAACCCCCCGGAGTACCACCACTCCATGCTGTCTCTGGGTCATTCTGAATCAAGACACTAACAGTATGCCCATGACATCTTGATAGAGAGCTCCTAGGACCCAGCTCTCCTACTTTGCCATATATTTATTGTCACCTGTCACCTTTCACAAGATCATCTTTTTCAATCTCTTAATATTTCCCAAAAGTGGTTGTTTGGAAAATAATAGATTAATAAAGGGGATAGCATTTAGAAAATAAAGCAATAACTACTATAACTAAGGAACTATGGTGGTTTTACACATGTATACCAGCACACACAAATTGATTCATGGAAGATTATTATTATTTCCATTTTTTATATAATTGAAGCTGACGAAACTTGAGGAAATCCTATGCTAAAGTCTCTCTGTATCACATATCACATATTGGAACAAGGAGCATCTATCTGGTTGAAAGACCATTCTCAAAGAGACTTAATGACCTTGCCTGAAATCAGCTGAAAGAAGGGCTCTGCTGGCTGTCCACAGAGTTCCATGCTGTTGACATTGCCTTCACTATTTCAGGGAAGATAGAGGACAGATGTCAGACTGTATACTGGTCACTCACTGTGGCGATGCAAATGGCTGGGTGAGAATGCTACCTCTCCTGTGTGTGAGAAACATGATCTCAGCCAAGTTCAAGTCCCTAAGCTTCCTTTCCTTTCTAGGATAAGGATGATAACAGTACCTTGCTTCTTCCACCCAAGATATCCTATATGCCAAATATGTTACAAACACTGTCTCATCCCATGCTTACATCAGCTACATCGGTTGAGGCTATTATTTTCATTTTGAAAATTGAAAATAAATAAATGAGTAAATCAGAGGCACAAGTGATGCTTTCTCTAGTAGGTGACAAAGCCAGGCTTAGACCTCTGCTCTGCAAGGGTGGATAAAACATTGCATGCGTCACCATTTGAAAGGAGCTGTGCTAAACTGAGTTTTGCAAGCTGCACTAATAAACCTTGTTTGACATGGCATTGCCCAGGCGAGCATATCGTGGGTGTTCAAGGAATTAATAAGTTCCAGTCAGGAGATATGTTATAAATTAATAAATAATAGATCATAATTATAGATACTCAATAATGCTGCCTTGAAATTGCAACAGAGAGATTAGAGGAAAGACTGTGGGAAAGCACAGGCCAGGGGAGACAGGGAAGTGTTCCAGTAGGGTTGCAGAGGAAAAATCAAAGTCAATATTTTTATTTTACATCTCTTACAAAGTCTTGAGAAAGCTGGAGACCTCACTCTGCCAGAGGCAGGGCTGTTAACTATATAGACTGTGACCCTCCACAGTGACTAAATTGAACACAACTAATAATCACAAATGTTGGTGTGCATTTGAAGCAACTGGAACTTTCATAGCCTTACACTAGGAATAGAAATTAGTATGATCACCATGAAAACCTGTTGAGCAGTATGCACTGCTGTATCTAATGTAAAGTATACACATACCCTGTCACCCCTTGGTTCCACCCTTAGGAATATGCCTAGCAGAAATGAATATATATATGTGCCTCAAATAATACTAAAAAGAATACTAACAGTAGGCACTCATTGTATTGCCAAGGAACTAGGAAAAAAAAACACAAAGATCCATCAACAAAGAAATAGATGAATAAATTAGGAAATAATCCTATGATGGAATATCATTAATGAGGAAAATGAGGGAACATAGCTATCATGCAGTACATGGATAAATCTCACAATATAATACTGAATTATGGAATCTAGTCACAAAAGAATATGTGTGTATACATATATATATAATTTCTTTTTTACATATAATATATGTATATATTTTTAAACAAATCTTAATAATTAGTAAAAACTGATGTTTGGTTGGGAAGAAAGAAAGGATGGGAATACCTTTGGGAGCTGGGGACTTTGGTGACGCTGATGACAATTGACCTCTTGATCTCAGTGGTTGCATGAACATTTTTATTAACGCTTCATCAAGTTGCACATTTTTTCCTCTATGTTGTACTTTTATTAAACATAAAGTTCATTGCTTAAAGTCATAAGATATGGAACCCAATTGAATCTCTTGGGTTCAAATCCTCATTCTACCACTCAATACAATGCATGAACTTTTCTATGCCTGTGTTTCCCCTTGAGGTTTGTGGAGATAAAAGATTATTTAAATCCTACAAGAGAGAGGTGAAGGTCAAATGACATGGTACAGGTAAAGTCCTGAATTTGGAACATAGCCAACTCAAGAGATATTGTGCTTGTCAAGGTATGTATAGTATCTAGCAGCATAGTGAATGTTTTATTCTCTTTTTCTTTTTCATTTTTTTCTCTTCCCTTTGATGAAAGGCTGCATCCAGTCAATGATGCATTTTCAAATCAACAGTATCTTGGTATTGAGGGCTTGCACTAATCCTTGTGCATACCCACACATATACACATATGACCATTAGTATGCCAGGTCTGTGGCTTTAAGTGTATTGAATATGTTTACGGAATGAATGAAGAGTCTCATATAGGGTAGACATAGAGTTCTTTGAGAGGTTGGAAAAGTTTCTGGGCAAAGGAATTAGGTGATTATTCTCAGGAGAGAGAACATTGGAAATGAACCATGAATTGCACCTGCCATCTGACTGTGTAGAGTCTAAGGTGGGAGAGGAAGGGCCAAAGAAGAGAACTCTTCTCTGATGGCTCCTCTTCTCCAGCCTTTAGCAGGAAGCTGCTGGGAATGAGGATTTTTTTGCGTTGGAGACACTAATGATGCCAGCTATAGCCACGGAGGCGCAAACCCTAGCTAAATTTCATACAGATTCCTTTCAATTCTGAAAAACTCTATCTGAGCCCCTCCTGTGTGCCAGGCACTGAGCCAGGACCATAGGAGTACAGAGATGAATAAGGCCCTCCCCTGCCTTCAGGAGTCTCAAGGCTTAGCAAGGAGCACGGAACAAGAGACTGACTTGAGAGATGAGATAATAGTCACTCATGGAGAGAGCAGCACGGCAAACAACACTTATGGCTCCACACCAGGCCTTCTTCACAATTTCACCTGAAGCTGGTTCTTGTAAGAGAAATGTGAGAATAGCTATTATAGTTAGAATAATAACCATCCACAAAGCCCAGCTTTTGGAGCTTCTCAATGATTTTTCTATGATCTCAAATCAATGAAAATGAAATGGTAAAATGCTGTTAATTCCGGAAATGTTAAAAGAATAATGGAATATCAGATGCAAGCCAGCATTGCTCAGTTGGTGATAGTTTGCACATTGAATTAGTTCTAAATAGAATTAAGAATGTCTCCTTATTCTTTTGGCCTTTCCAGTCTAAGCATTGAGAATTTATTGAACACCTATTATATGGCAGGCTAAGTACTGGAGATCTAGAAGAAAAAGAAGACAAGGATCTTATTTTTATTAAATGAAACAAAATCACAAATAAAAAGATGTACCTTGTGATAGTTGAAGAGAATGGAGGGAGATTTTAAGGCAGAGTGAAGACACAAAGGTACAGGTGATCAGACTCACTTGGAGAAGGAAGTACTCACAGAGAAGAGAATCTCTGGGTGAAATTTTCAAAGCCTACAGGAAGTTAGGAGGTTATTGTTTCTCAAAGTGTGATCCCAGGACCAGCAGCATCAGCATGATATAGAAATATGTTAGAAATGCAAATTGACAGACTCCATCTATGGTAGATGGATAAGGACCCCCCAAAGATATTAGATTATAAACCCTAGAACTTGTAAATGTCACAATATTGGGGAAAAAAGAGAACTCTTTGCAGATCTTATTACTAAGATTCTTAGTAATAAGAATCTTAAAATAGGTTGATTATCCTGAATTATCTGGATGGGCCCAAAATACCATATCATAGCAAGTGCCCTATTAATAGAGCACACAGAGAAGTCAAGATGGAGTGAGAGCTTGGAGCCACACAACCACAACCAAAGAATGGTAGCCACCATGGGAAGCTGGCAGAGGAAAATTCAGAGAATCCCCAGGGCTGCTAGAGAGAGTATAGTCTTCATTTTGCCCAGTAATACTGATTGGGGACTTACTGTTGTTTTTAGGGTCACTCCCATTTGTGGTGATTTGTTACAGCAACCACATGAGACTAATACACCCACTGAATCAGGTATTTCAGAGTTTAGCCCAACAAACTGATTTAACAAGGTGCTTAG